AATTTTGTTTTCTTTTAATTATTTTTATGTTTTTTTTTTTTGAAAAGGTAGCGAAAGAAAACTTAAAACTTACTTTTTCATTCTTTCCTATTGCTGCCCGGCCCAAAGTTGCAAGAATAAAATTTCCATGGATATTTTGGTAATGAAATTACCTTGTTCGGCATGAGTTAAGAACTTCTCAACATTTAATGTCATTCACTGCACTAATTGAGATGAACTTCCTCGTGCCAAATTGTTGAGACCATCCAATAATTATTAACGGTGCGTTTGGTTGGTAATCAGAAAATAAGGAATTTGAAAATAAGGAATTCAATGAAAATCAGAGTTGTATTCTTTGTTTTCAGTATTTTCAAATATGTATTTGGTAGCAAATTTGGTAATTGAATCTCAATTTTAAGAATTCGTCAATGCGTGTTTAGTAGTATGTTTGTAAACTAAAAATAGTTACAAACTAAATATGTAGTTTAATCTAAAGTTATATTAATTAATTTATTAACATCTTTTTTTATAAATTTTGTATAATTATTATTTTACAACATTGTATAATTTAGAATACATTATATGTTTTAATTTTAACAAACATAAAATGAGTTTATAACATGAAGTAATATATTTATCAAAGATTTTATCATTTTAATGTAATTCTGCATCTTAAAAATTTGAAATTCTAAATCTGAAAACACTAAAAACATAAAAAAGTCGTTTTCAGAATTTCTACTGTTTGGATCATAGAATCCGAAAACAGTTTTCAAAAACGAATTTCTCAAATCTTACCAAACCCGTATTCACTAAATCTGTTTCATTCAATAAATCTGAAAACAAAAAACGGAATCCGAGTTCAACCAATGCCCTAAGAATTTTCCACAATCATATCTTTGTGATGAAGAAGATATTGATAGTTGATCTTTGAATCAACTATCCAGGTGGTATTGTTATTCCCTAATTTTATTTTTATCTTTCTTCCCTAACTCTAAATGAGTTGATCTTCTCATATTTATAGTTGATCTTTGAATCGACTCATTAAGTTTCTAATTATGAATGCGCTAGCTAGTTTAGAAACTATTTCCTTTATAAATTTAGTTATTAATTATTAATCTTGATATCATTTGGATAATTATCCAAACATGGCTTCCACTAGCTACAACATCTCATGTATTGTTGACTAATTCTTCCTCGTTTTAGTTTGACACCTAATATATAACCCAAAAGATATTTAACAATCCATCTCAATATATTTTGATATATAGATCATGTGCTTGAACATTTCCAATGACATAGACAACATGTTTTCGAGACATTCCCCACTTAAGACAAAGACTAAATTTATACAATAATTATTATAATGTTTACATTACTTTTCCAAGTGAATGAATTTCTCGATTTTGACATATTATTGACAGCGCACTATGTGAACTATATTTCATGAGATTTATATTGTAATTGACGTTAGTTTTTGTTTCTTTATGATAAATTTATGCTCATAAGACAAATTTTGTAGGAATGAAGTATAGAGAGGAAATGAAAAATAATTAGATTAAATTGAAAGAAAAATTAGAGTAAAAGTGATTGAGGAGGAGTGGAGAACAAGAGCCTATGACCCATGGAAATAGCGTTGAGACGTTGTTTCAACCTTGCATAGCGTCTCAATGCTATGAAAGCGTCTCAATGATGTGGTCTATTATATAATTTATAGCAGAAACTGTTTACCGCAAGTGTATGAGTCAAGTTTTAATATAGTTGGTAAGTGAATACCGATTTCGTCATTTGGATTAGGTTTCTAGCTCACTAAAGAACCACAAATATAATTGCTCAATTTTGTTTAGAGAATCAAAACAAAATGGGAGAATAGAATCAAAGCAAATAAATATGCAATTATATAGATAAAATTAATATAATAGAAATTACTTACCGCAACTGTACAGGTCAAGTTTTAATATAGATGGTAATTAATCTTTGAATGATTTCTAAGTATGATATTTATAGTCATTTTTGGATTTAATGTGATGATTATTAAATGTCTGTGTATTTTTCTTTGGAGGTTTGTCATCATAAAAAATGGGGAGATTGTTAGCTTTTTTGCCCTTAATATTTTAATTAATTAATTAATTAATGTTTTGATGATAACAAACGTAATTTTATTTATTGATATTTTTAGTATTTTAAAATGTCCACAGTGTAGAGCTCGTTATAATGATTCCAACGACTATTGGATCATCCAAATTGGAGCTCAAACAGAGAAGTTATAATCGAAACAAGTCGGAAGGAAAAATATCCGAGAAAATGATGTGGACAGTTCGTAGGCGTCAAAGTGGCTCTCCAATTCCTCAATTTTTCTCTTCATCTTATTTGTGAGAGAAAATTTATTGTTGTGAGGATTGAATATTTGTGAGCTCAAACTTGTAAATTCCCTCTATATATTTGAGAGTTTGTAAGGATGTTTCAAATTTCTAATTCATTGAACGATGTGATTTTCATTGTAGAGAGGATCGTCTTTGCTCTTAAGAAGAGCGGTGTACCGGTTTGACTCTTACCGTGGAAAGTGACAGAATTTCAATTTACTGCACAAGAGGTGCTTGGGAAGTGTAGTAAGACGGTTGTGTCGAACCACTATAAAAATTTCCGATGTCAAATTCTCTAACCCTGTCTCTTGTTTATTTTTGCAATTAATTTTAGAATTTTATTGCTTACTTTAAATTTCTCTTATTTGTCTTCTTAGAATGTATTTTATTTTACTTTTTGAAAATTACATGTTTCAAAAAATGTATTATTTTTGTATAAATTGGGCTCATTGGTTAAAAAGTTTACATTTTGTTAATTAAACCCTATTCACCCCCCTCTAGTGTTGCCATACCGATCCAACACTAAGACTAATGTGCTAGTTTCTACTCAGCAAGCCATACTACTAAATGGGAAGTCACGAGCCCATAACAAAGACTACTTAATATACCCATTAAATAGCCCAAATATAATTGCTCTTTGATTTGTTACCCACATATGAACTAATTATTAAATTAATTCTAACAATCTCCTACTTGGGTACCAATTTTCTTTATTAACAATTATATTAATTTATTTTTTAAGTGCACAACTTAATGCTATTAAAAGAAACTTTCCTTTAATCATAATCCAGTCCATCTCGTATATCAATGAGGAACCAAAGTGGCTTTTGTCACATGTATAATTGTAACTGAGTCTTCAATGGTCACCACATCAAATATACTCAATGACATGAATCAAGTGTGGAAGAGCAAGCATGAGAATTATATGTAATGTGATCTAAACATGTCTATTTCTAACTGGTCCAACTTTATTCTTTAAAGAGATCAAAATTTATACTTTCTAGCTTTATGTTAAACTACAATTAGAAAGAAAATCTTTCAGAGTAACAAAATATTCAATCTTCTTTATTCTGCAGAAAAGAAAACCACATGTCTACTTTAAGAAAACACAAACTTCCACTCAAATAACATACCATAACTTTCACATCTATATGAGCATTATGCTCGTAAAAATTTTTGTGAAAGTCTTTAGTGAGCGGATCCGCAATGATGGAGTTGCATTTCTTCAGACACAAAAATACTCTGAATTTCCTTTATCAACTAAAGCTTAAAATATTCATACAAAAGCTTTCGTTGTTGTAATATGGAAAAACAATTCATGTCAAGACAACCTAATGACAAGGTTTTATAACCATATTTGATACTCAACAACTCATGTCAAGGCTGATGGGTGTGCGTCGGGGGCGCTGGCAGCAGGAGGG